TTGACTTCGAAAAAAAGTTATTGCACTTTAGAATATCTGTTTTCTTTCACATTCATGATTTGGCCGTTTTGACGCCCTTCTTTCCATGAAGTTGATAAAGCGGTGCTGATTTCCGTTTTGTACCATCAGCCAGAGTGTCCTATTATTTATGGCAGAGTTTACAGCTTTGTTGCAAACCTAGCGTGTAGTCTTTTATTTCCTTCCTGCAGAGGGGTCTCGTTTATCAACCTCAGAAGGAAGAAGGTCGAGTGACCTGATTAGGGGCTTGAATTCAGAACCGATAAGTCATACGATAGCCGACACCCTACCGACTGAGCATTCCCGGTCTGAACCAATGTTTGATTAATTCGATGCTCAAAGGAATTCGTTGATGAGACAAAATTCGAGCGGAACCGAATCCCGCACCTCCGGTGTTCGAAACAGACCTCTTAGACAACTGTGCCATCACGCCACAGTTTGGCTTTGAATGGTTTCGTGAAACTAGCCATTTTATTGAACTTATGTTTAACACTTCTCTAGAGTTATGCAGCGGGTCACGTCATTCCGTTGCTTCTGACGGCTTGTGAGCTAGAAGTGTTCAGTGTTTTTAAATCGCCATCAGATTATGAATGAAGAAAATCACTGAAAATCGTAGGTACGCTTTCGGTTTCCCTGCCAGGAATGACACAAATCACTTCTCCGGATTTATGCGCTATATTTGCGTCGTCTGTTTCTTCCTAGAGATCTAAGAAACTATTTGAGCACACCGCGGTTCCTTTCCATGGTATAATGAAATCCTTCCATTTATCGAAATTTTGTATTTTAAGAATATCATAAAAATTTTTTCTGTATTTTGGTAATCTTTTCAGGTGAATGTATTACTGATCATTTAGGTGCCAGAACTGTCGGTCTTCGCAGTCTATGGCGACGCTGAAGATTCCTTACGCGTTTAAGCTACTACTGCAAGAACTTCAATCTATGAATATTGTTCCACAGATAGGACTTGGAAAGTTTATTAAAGATTCTTGACTTGATTGGATGATCCCATTTTACACCGACTGATGATTATTTTGATATCTGTTGTATACATGTGTTCTTTTTACCTCGCGTTGTGTAGGTTTCTACTTCATCTTGAACTTTTAATATGAGTTCATATTCCATTGGCTAGCAAACACTTAATCTTAAGAATGCAGGATTTCGCGGCCACTGTTGCGTAGTTCCTTGTCTATCATTGCCTAATGACATAATGGGACCGTTGAAGCAGACCACAACTCTGATCACACACAGCTACATGCATTTCGTATCATCTTTCCCTAGGGTCATCTTTTTCTCATGTTTAATGATCCAAAGTATGTTATCGTACACATGTGTGAAACTAAGTTATGAAGCGTTGCAGCAAGCTGCGGTCACAGTTTTAAATTGTCATATACTTTATAATGCTTAGATGAAATTCGTCTTGTTTGTTCACCGTGGACATAATTGGGAAAACTAACGGGGTTATGTCGCAGTATGACTCAAGCAATATTTATGGCCACCTCAATCATTCAAAGCGGCTTTTTGCAGAGTATCAAAAAGGTCAGTTGCATTATCTGGATGATTACGCTAATCGCAGCGCAAATCTAGTTGCTAGGTTCAATGCTCAGCGTGTGTGATGCACTGTGTATACCCCAAACTAGTGCTCCTGAAACCTTTCAAAATTTTAATTCGTGTTAAAAGATTTTGTTCTTATAATCAATTAGTTTCCTTATGAATGTGTTTATTCCATTAACATCCCTTGATACACTTTATATTTCATTCAACTAACCAGAGTAAAATTATTTACTGTTTTACTTCTCTAGGTGCATCTACAGACATTTATGAAAGAATGAACGTTATAAAGTGATCATGCATACGATTAGAGATCCTAATCTATAATAGAAATAAATTAACATGCTTAGTGAAGATCGACTTTACAGGATAATATATATTTCACAATAAATATTTTCCTTTCACCAAGAGCTTATTGAGATATTGCCAAGAAATTTTTTTCAAGCAGAGATTTCACCTAAATCTTATGTGAAGTAGAACAATGTCTGACACGTATGTTGCAGTTCGTCATATTCACATCAAATTTATATGTGAAGGGTGTACATTCTACGTCTGCATCTGATGCGAATACCTGTTATAGGGCCGAAGACTTCGCTGTTGCGGCATCGGTTGTAGCATTGCTGCTCTTCCGCAAAGGTTTTTATTCAATGACTCTAAAAGTGCGTCTCTTTCTACCACAACAGAAGCATAACCGCACGTCGTAGAGTCAAGACAAAGGAAGAAATGTTTCAGCACGCAAATGCTCATAATTTCTGAGCCATAACGTTTCATGGACGACAATCTGACCATATCTTGCCAATCCTTTGTGGTCTCATCAACCAGCTCGTATTCTTTTCCTTTGAATTAAGTTATGTCTCTCATTTTGACTGAAAGTTTCCACTGTCGACATCACTATCGACAGTTTCCGTGGTACCTTATCCGAGTGCAATAATGACACTGAGTTGTCTGTTTTATCCCTTCAGAACGGATGGAAACTTTGTTGCTGACTGATGCCTTCGTACTGGTATCACCAAAGCAGCGACAGAGCTGGGATAATGTGCGATGGCCCATATGTCATGACAGGCGGGTGGATAAATCTAAGGGAAACTTTGCTACGTTTACAGCCTTCCTCTATTATTGTCCAAATTTGAAACCGACAACAGCATTAATTTGATATTTATGTATAATTCCATAATCCATTATTTGCCAGGGCTGCTTGCTCATCTTGCAAATCGCTGCTAATGTGTATGGTAACTCTAAATATCAGGAAACAGTCCGTTGCGGCTGTGAACCTCAGGCCTTGCGAGAATGCACATGCCTGAAGAGTGTCAGGGGTGTTCCTGCCCCACTGGCTGCCTTGTTGGTATGATTTTTCATCTATCGCTTTTTTTAATGATGTTGCTAAATGATTCTGTTTTACTTAATGTAAAATCTGTTGTTACAAGCTGTTAGTCAGTCGAAGTCTTTTCGC